CTTCCACCAGCAGTGTCTGCACCGGGGAGACGAAGACATATTGGTGTTAATGAAAAGCCCTCCTAAACTATCCTCCCCGCATGAATGTTTAAACATGCTTGTCATAACATTCATTCGCTCACACATGACAGCTAGCATCTGCAGCTGCCTTGCTCGCCCTCAATATTTTATCATACCATCTCCCCTAACCCCACACTAGCACAATGCCTGTGTGTTAGCAAACTGAATTATAATGACTGAAAACAGGCTGTGTTCAGACCCACTGCCAGCACAGGCCATGCATAATGGATTCAGTAACACCAAAAGTCTCATAATGGTACAATTAGTCAATCTTAAATATGAAAGTAATAAAGAAAGGCAAAACAAGAAGCCTTTTTGTTTTTTTTTCAAGTAGCAAAAAAAGAAAAAGAAAAGGAGAAATGTACACAAAGATAATGAGACAGAAAAAATGCAAAGTAAGGACAAAATGTGTAAAGAAGGAAAGAGAGAAATCCTTGTGTCCATTTACAGTATGCTATTCCAAAGTCCCATAACGCTGCAGGTCAGCAGTTGTGACCTTGGTGGTTTTGACAGAAATGATTCACCATGGTAACGGTTGGTCTGCAACCCTCAGTACACCCCCGCACCCCTTATCATTCCCCAACCTTCCTTACCGCCTCTTTTCCAATTTGATTGGATGCACAATTGAAATGTCATGCCTCAGCAAAACGCATGCACACGCACCCGATCAACCACAGTGAAAAAGTGGGAGGGATAAAAGAACTGGTCATGTTATACACTTCAAATTATAAATTAAGAGACAGGTCCAGTGCACGCTGGAAGAAAAGAGGGGTTTTGGTCGAGCATCGAATCGCTTGCATTTCAGGTAGCAAGGATAAATATGCATATATGGCTGAAATCATAATCAGAGCTATAGGGTTAATGTTGTGTGATGTACCAGGGGACATAGGCACAGTGCATCAAAGCAGTGAAGGGAGCCATAGTCACTAAATGCAAAGTCAAATGAATATTAATGCAGAACCAATTACCTCAGAGAAATGTTGTCTGTAGGTTAACTTTGCTAACGCGTGTGTCTCACCTTTACCGCAGTAGAAGCATTGGGGGATGGGTTGTTGAGGGGCAGCGCTGATGTGTTAGTTTTCTTCCTAACAAGCTTCTCTGTCCCTGCTAAAATAGAATTGTTAAGCAAACAGCTACTCCTCTCCACTTATCTTATTTCAATACGATGCAAGATCCAATTTTTAAAGAGAGGGAAAGTGCAAAGTGAGGGTTACAATTAGGGTGTTACTTGACTGTGACATTTCTTTAAAATACTTCATAAGCAGCAAAAAAAAAAAAGTATTTTGCATGTCATACAGCAATGCTAAGTCTCCCCCTTTTCTTTACTTCAGTCTTTAGAGGTGAGCCACATACTTTCTTGTTGTATGAGCAGCTTAGCACAGAGCAGCACTGATCTATGCAGGTGCTGATCTGCACAAGTGACTGTGCCACACTTAAAGCCCCTTCTAAATCAGTGTTAAAGCCTTGATAATAGACCTCACTGACCAATTGATTGGCCTTCATATGTTTACAGCTCACTTTAATTGCCTCAAAAATACCATTTATCAGCCAAGTGTGTCCGCATATGCATGTATGTGTGAGTGCAAGCATGCCCGTCCATTGACAAAAAGGCTTATTGATTTATCAGCATCAGGATTTGTCCCGTTCACCATACATAAAACCCCTGCGTATGTGCTGTTCAAAATGGGAAATGGCCCCATTGATTCCCTTAAGTTGGAGCCCAAATGCTAAAGATTTTTGGATAAGCTTTCTCATTACTTAAGCTGAAATCAATAGGGGAGAGCATGGGTCTAATGAATGAACGGGCCACAGATCAGATGGGGTGTGCTCATCCCTGGCCTGTCCGGGTCGATCCGAGTATGTGTGTGAGTGCGTGTGTGGGAGAAAGAGAGAGAAAGAGACATCCGCATGCACTCACACAAAAACGAGCGGACTATTTGGACATCACAAATCTTTTTGTCTGCCTCAGAAAATTCACATTTTAAATCCATTTGTGTCTTTAGGTCTTTCTGCTCACTTGACCCACTTCTGTGCCTTTAGCTTCCACTGCTTCTCGATCCACATTAATGTGCCAAAAATATGTTCTTTTCAGAACCGGAACCATGTGTTAAAATCATGCAAGACACCAAACCCTTATCCATGTATGGTTTGGAAATAGTTTAAGCCTCAAAAGTCTGCGTATGGAATTTCAAATATTTGTTATTAATTATTATTTGAATCGTTCTACTTTCCCTTTGCACACTTTCTTTCCCTCTGTAGTTGGAGGCCAGCAGGAAGCAGGTGGAACGTCAGAGGAGGGAGTTATCAGAGCTTCACCAGAAGGAGGAGACACTTTTGTGTGAGGTACAAAGATAAATCATAAACAGACACACACATGCATGCACGTGCACACAACACATACACACACACACACACACACACACACACACACACACACAGAGGAACTAACTCGGGATTTAAGATTTAAATACTCAGCATCTACAAATAAAATCTAGATTAGTCATAAATCTTCATGGGAATGTACAGTAATATCGAGTGCATGTGGATGTGTGTCAGCCAGCCAGCTGGTGGAACCAAGAATGTAGCTCACACACGCATACGCAGAAACTACTACCCCTCTTAGTCGCAGCCCCTTTGGCTAACCATTTGGTTTTTCCACTTTCCACTCTTTCCACCCCTTTGAAATATCAAAACAGCACAGAGTGGTGTATCTCTTGAAAATCGTTTTTGGCTGAGTGTGCAGACGCTTCCTCTCAGAGTACATTTACCAGACAACTTCTAACAGTTTCACTTTGTGACTTGGCCAATTTATGGAATTAACTCGATAAGCCGATATTACAAACAGTTGTCACTGCGATTAGTTAAACCAAGGAGTTGCTCGCTAAAAAATAGAAACCTGCAGACGCTGATGAAAAATTAATTAAATCATTAATTAAATAGATTTAATTAGTAATATTGCAGTTATTAAATATCACATACACACGAAGCAGGAAACTTAGAAGCTATTTGGTGGATTTATAAACTGTGGCTTTAAGTAGGATGAGCAGTCAATAAATTGTGCATATGAGCACTATCAACAAAGAACTCTGGATTATCACCACTAACCCAGCCCACTTTTCAAACAGTCAACTCCCTATCCCTTCCCCTACTCTCCACCAAGGTGTCCCGCCTTTTCAACTCATAAATATGGAAGGCAAAAGATGATGAGATTCAGGGACAAGAAAGGAATCAAAATCTATTGTAGCGTGTCCTTTTCCCCGTGTAAAGTTTGGATTAAATGTCACACATTAGCATGTGAACTTTTAAATGAGCTTGTTTGCTCTCCACGGTGTGGGGCATGTAAATACCCATCTTGAGAATGGAATGGGGATTTCGTAGTGGAGGCGGTGGTGCTGGTGGAGGTTCTCAAGAGTTGCAGAGTGTAGGACACATTTGAGGGTTGCAATGGGCAATTAGACCCCACCAAGGGACGGGTGTACCAAACAGGTCTATTGACTGCAACCTGAAGTGACAGACATTAGCAGATGGGAAATCTCACTAAGGGATGTGGCTTCTAGTGATTTATGTGAGACAGATGATTGACATGAGAAAACTGACACACACTGTCATGTTTATTTCTGGGCAAAATCCGGTCAGAGTGAAAAGAAATATGTAAATGTTTAGAAAACCACTGTAAGTTTGTTTGATGAAAAAAAATTAACTGTTGAAATTTTTATGTACTTTTTACTTTTGCATTTTCATTCTATAACACGTTTAATACGCACTGCTCAAAAAAATGAAAGGAACACTTTGAAAACACATCAGAGCTCAATGGGAAAAATCATGCTGGTTATCTATACTGATATGGACTGGGTAATGTGTTATGAATGAAAGAATCAATTGTTTGATGGAAATAAAAATGATCAACATACAGAGGGCTGAATTCAAAAACATCTGGAAAATCAAAGTGAAAAAATGATGCAGTGAGTTAGTCGATTTTGTTGAAATTTCTTGGGAGCAACTCAAAATGGTATTTAGTAATTGGTGCTTGCATTCATGTCTGACAAAACTGGACCACGCTCCTATCCGATTGTTCAGTCTGACGTCACTAGCCGTGTCTGGACCTAAACTCCGCTGCAGGTCCATATATCAAACGATCACTATGGCATTACTGAGAGTTGAAAAACTGTCTAAAGTCTTTCATCTTTAATAAAATGATCAGCGTTCTGCTCTACCAGGTGTAACAATTGAGTTTAACATCCAGGCATCCATGAAAACGGAATTTATGACATTTGACGGAGTTAGAAGTTAGCAGGGAGTTAGCTCGCTAGCTTCTATCTAAATACAATATAGCATGGCCTGACTGCGGGATTTTGGAAACAAATTAAAACGTACAGCTCTGTTATCACTTCCAACATAAATGAAGACGGAAAACTAAACAGCAGTGATGTTTGTAGGGTTACTGAAGTTTGGCTAGCTGGTATATAATGATGTGCTACGTGACCGCTAGCGACACAGCTATGTTAGCATAATATAAACAAGCTAACTTTTTTTTCCACTCGATAAAAGTTAACGTGAGTGTTCTCGGTGGTCAGGAACAAATGTAATCGCCTGGCAGGATGCTGTAAAAGGACCAAACTTCAGCCAGGAGAACAACTGAGATAATCCATCCACAATACGAGGTTAGTCATTCATATGCTGCTGCATATGCTGCTGCATGGGCTGGGCTGTAGTTACATCCTAAGGTTTTAAAAACTGAGCTTAAATAAATGATTAGCGGTAATAAAAGCCGAGGGAGGTCAACAGGGATCACTGACTGTTTTAGGAGCTTTTTAAGATCAAATAGAAGAAAATACATAACATTAAACATGTAAACAACACAAAAGCCATATTAAACGCAGACTACTTTAGGCCCGGAAGTAGGATTCGTCGCGTCATCACTGAACAACCAGATTGAGAGGATGGACGCTGTCCTGAGGGATCTTCTCCCAGATCTGGACCAGGGCATCACTGAGCTCCTTGAGTCTGAGGTACAACCTGACAGCATTGGATGGACCAAAACATAATATCCCAGAGGTGCTGCATTTAGCTCAGGTGAGGGTATCAGTTCCTTCATCCTCCAGGAACTGCCTGCATATTCTTGCCACATAATGCTGGGCATCGTGAACTAGGAGGAACCCAGAACCCACTGCACCAGCATGTCTGACAGTGAGTCTAAGGATTTCATCCCGATACTCAATGGCAGACAGTGTGCTGTTGTCTAACTTGTAGATATCTGTGCGTTCATCCATTCCTCACCACCAAACCGCTCATACTGAATGATGAACAGGCAGCATAACGTTCTCCACGACTTCTCCAGAGCCTTTCACGTCTATCGCATGTATTCAGTGCTTCGATCTGTGAAAATTAGAGGGTGCCAGTGGTGGACTTGCCAATTCTGGTATTCTATGGCAAATGCCAATCGTGTTCCACGGTGCCAGGCAGTGAGCACAGGACCTACTAAAGGACATTGGACCCCCAGGCCACCCTCATGAGGTCTGTTTCTGATTATTTGGTCAGAGACATTTACACCAGTGGGCTGCTGGAGGTTCTTTGTTGCTCCGTCAGTGCTCATCCTGTTCCTCATTGTACAAAAGGAGCAGATACCGCTCCTGCTGATGGGCTAAGCACCTTCTACAGCTTTACAGCTCCTAAAGTAACTGCCTGTGTCCTGGAATCTCCTACATGCGTTTCGGAAGACACAACAAGCCTTGTGGCTATGACACATATTGATATGTCATCCTGGAGGAATTGGACTACCTGTACAAGCTCTGTAGGGTCCAGGCACCAACTCATGTTACCAGTGGTGACACTGACGTAAGCCAAAAGTAGTGAAAAAACAGTCAGAAAAGATGCAGGGAAAAAATGTCAATGACTTGGACCTTTAAAAATTTGTGGTTTAAGGGTTGTCTCATTGTTGCCCCTCTAACTGCACATGTTGTTAATTGTATTTACACCAAACTGGTTAACAACCCCTCTGCTACTTAACTGACCAGATCAATATCCCAGAAGTTTTACTGACTCTGATAAAAAAGTGTTCCTTTCATGTTTTCTGAGCAGTGTATAAGTTCGAGTTGAAGCTATGGAAATAGCAAACATATGGTAAAGACCATAAAAAACAAGCATGTGTCGCTAACACTCACAGAACCTCAGGGTTGAGAGCTCACCAAGTACTATTGTCAGAATATGTGTGTGTGTGTGTTGACGCATGACCGTATTGTGTATCATATTTGATAACCAAACACCATAATATATGTGCACATATTTCACTGACTATGATTCCCTTTGTTTTAAAATGTGAGTCTGCTTATTTATTGACATAATTTCCTCTCACTGAAGGGCTTGTGTCTATAAAACACATTAAAATCATATTGCAATCTTTGGTTACCCAGGAGTAGCGTCATAGTTCTATTATACTCACTGAACAACAGCATCACAGCCTGTTTATCAATCCAATATCTCATAATGTGCTCTCTGCCTGGTCATTTTGAATATAAAAAGATCTCATACTCCCATTGTACCATATTTCCTATATTTAGTATTAATCTCTTGTACTGACATGAATCTGACACATCCAATATGGCATTTGATTAGTTGTTTTTGTTTTTTGTTTGTTTTATTTATTTTTTTCTGAGTCTCCAGGTGATATTAGATACACGTGCCGAGCTAGTATTATGTTGGTTGTTTCATCTGAGTATAAAAATGATTTAGTGTGTACTCAGCAGGCAGTGTCATTGACTAGCTTTAATTTCACTGCAAGGGTGGGCTTTATTACTCTGCTACTCTCTAAATATGTGTATGTGAGTGCATGTGAGAGAAAGTGTGTGTGTGTGTGTGTGTGTGTGCGCGTGTGTGTGTGGAGTGCCCCCCCCACACACACAGAAAAAAATAGAAAGTGCAAATGAATGTTTCTGTGGACATTCGTTCTGTCTCTTTTCATGCTTATTATCTTTGCAGCATGCAACGTCTGTGCACACATGTGCTGAGACTCTCTTTCGCTTTTTGATGAGCAGAGCTTTCCTAAACCTAACCAAGTAGTTTTCAATACCCAAAGCTAGCAAAGGTAAGACAATAAACTGCAAGTAAATATGAAACCTGCACCCAGAGAAAACTCAATTTTCAGTCTCAGTGGTCAAAAATCAGGTGTGTCTGAAATGTGTCTGATCTTGTTACTCTTGGAGTGGACTCCGAGTTGAAACACCCCCAAAGCCACGTGGAAAAGTTTTCACAGTACTCTATGAAGTCCTGGGAAGAGTCACCGTTATCAGATGTATCTTGAATGAATGTTTTTTTGTGTTACTTAATTAGTCTCTCACATCATTGTGTATGAATTTTGGCCCATTCATCTTTACAATGTTGCTTCAGTGCATTTGCAGTGATTTGTTTATGCACAGCTCAGTTTTGGTCCTGCCACAGCATTTTAGTCAGGTTGACGACTTTGACTGGGCCTTTTTTCTGCCAATTTGTGCAGATTTGCTGCTGTCACTGTTCTGTTGCATGACTCAATTTCACCCGGGTTTAGCTATTAAACAAAAGGCTTAAAATTTGCCTATAGAATACATTGCAATACAGAGGAGTTCATAGTTACCACCTGCAAGGTGCCCAGATCACGTGGTTCCAAAACAAGCCAAAAGCCTGTGGTCACCCCTATTAGGTGTTTGGCCTGATAGGCTGATTGCTTTTGGCCAAACATGGCACTGTGTACAACTCCACTTGGATCTCATCTGTCCAAAACACATTGTTCCAGAAGTCTGGTGATTTGTTGAGATGTAACTTTGCAAACCTACTGCCATGTTTTGCCATGGAAGGACTGCCAGGAGAAGAGGCTTTCTCCTGGCAGTCCTTCTAAACAAGCCATACTTGTTCAGTCTTTTTATTGTACTGAAATGAACATTATCCTTTCACATGTTAAATGGGGCCTGTAGAGAAGTAGCTTTTGGGTTTTTTGCTGTTTTCCAGAGTGTTGCATGGTTTGACATTGGGGTGATTTTGCTGGGAGGTCCACTGCTGGGAGGATTATAGCTTTGTGTTAACATGCATCTGAGTGCTCCAGACCAGCAAACTTCCCAAATATATGTTTTTATTAAGCAGCTGATGATCAGTTAATCAAGTGGTAAATGGTAAATGAACTACATCTTATGTAGTGCTTTTTTACTTTACTGGAGTACTAACTCCAGTAAAGTAACATGCATCCATCCAGGTCCAAGTCTCTGGTGCAGCAGTCTGAGATGCTCCAATCTCAGTCTCTACCTCACCTGTTTTTCTTGAGGGAGACACAGAAGCATTCCCAATCCAGCTGAGAGACATTACCTCTCAAGTTTGTCCTGGGTCTGTCCTATCTGAAGCATGATAGGGGCATTAGCAACAAATATTGATATTCCATATTAATGTTTATTTGGAGGACATCTTACATGCACTTTTGTGCAGTGACAATGAAAAGTGAACCCTTTGTAATGGGCTGGCTTTCATTAAAAAACATTTCAAAAAATGTGACATGAATCTCATTTGAACCAAAAGAACACAAACCAAATGTGCTAAACACATGCTAACACACAAACAATTATACTGGTTCTCATCTTTAAACTCATCCCTGATGGGGATGTTTAATAAATACAAATCAAGCTACACTGTAAATAAGGAAAATTTAATAAAAAACATTTAATAACCAGTTCAACTTCCAAGTACCGCAATAGCCACAAAAAAACAGGGTTTGGGGTCCCACACAACATTTGGACTATTTACCATATGCTTCACCTCAGCCATTTTCGTGTCCAATGTGACCAGATTACTTGAAGTTGTCCACAATATTGTTCAAGGCTTTGGTTCTGAGTGGGCTGCTCAGAAACTGAGCTGTTAAGTTGCCTATTTATTTCCTTGTCCTTTTGCCTCACCCAGCATCTAGCTTGAGCTTTAACTGTTGAGCAGCTCTATCCTGTAACATATTGTGATAGACTTGGACTTCCTTCATTTTCCCCTCAGTAATGAAAAGTTCCGTAGTACTCGAGGCAGCAAAACAGCCTAAAATTATACTTCACATGCTTCACATTTGGGATAGAACAATGAAACTTTCTTGAGTTCAAGGATTTTTTGCATTTCTAAGACAGAGTTATGCATAAATCCTGCTGTATATCTTTGTATATATCTCCAAACATGCTGTTTATTCATCGTCTTCTGCATGCAATTAGCATTCACTGGACGAATCGGCTAAACCAGCACTTGGAGCCGTTCTCACATAACACTCTGGCCAAACTGGTGGTCCCGGTGCAAGAAACAGAGGAGCTCCACTTTGACGTGACAAACCTTACTTCTGATCAAATGCTACAGAGCTATAATCATGTTTGTGCCACTGAATTCCTTAACCTTTCCATGACCTCGTTGAATGCCAGCGGCCCAATCACAGAACCTAATTGAATCTGCTCGGCGGCGCCCCCCTCACACCCCTCCCCACCATACCCCAACCCAAATAAAATTGGAGGTGAAAAATGAATACAGCAGTATTCGGTAAGAGAGAAGAAGAAGGCAGGTGACACCAGTGGTGGTGGAGTTGGTGGGGTGGGATTGGGGCGGTGGATCATACTGCGGCTTTATAAATACACAGTCGTGCTCACAAACACACACCCAGACACGTACACGCAGTCACACCTTTTTCAATCCTGCAAGAGAATGGGGAGTGGGAAATGACAAAGAGAGAGAGAAGGCGGGAGCGAGGGGGAGGTTGGGCCTAGGTTTCTCATTACCCCCCTGGCCTATTTGGAGGATATTCCTATAAGATAATCTGATTTATTTGCAATTTTCCTTTAAGCGGCTTAGTGTTTACCTCCAAGATTAATATTTTTCTCTGTTATTAATATCAGACTGTAATTAGGAGTGATGTGTCTCGCTAGGCACGGTTCTGTGGCCGCCAGGCAGCTGGCTGGATGAAACTCTTGTTGCGACTCACTTGTTGTGATCCTGTTTCACGAGAGGCATAAAAGAACAGAGATGGAAGTTT